AAGTATATTATATTTTCCTTTTACAGCTGCAGCCTGAGGAAGATCCTGAAACACACCAGCAAACCCTAAAACAGACAACGGTTCACGGATGTTTTTCAGTCGCAGCAGAACTATGACTAAACTTTTGGGTGAAACTTGTTTACTTTTTTCTTACTTTTATTACTTGTGGGAAAACTTGAAACACTTTTAAATAAGTATAAAGAATGGCATTGGTTTTGTACATTTAATTTTTGTTTAATGTTATTAATAAAAATGTTGTTCAATTAGCATGTTTTTGTGTTTTGCTTTGGTACCGAAATTGGTACCGAGAACCGTGGATTTTCACTGGTATTGGTACCGAATACTGAAATTTTGGTACCATGACAACACTAGATTATAGCATACAAAATTGTTCTTTTAAGAACTGCTTGCTGAAAAGTTCTTTGGGGAATAGGGTTGTGACGGTGAGGAAATTTTCCCACCGGTTAATCGACGTGTGACAACACCGGTAATACCGGTATCACCGCGGGGCGTTCCTTCTTTTCCTCGCTTTCCTTCGCTTTTAAATAGCTTGTAAAAGCTGTGCGCGCGTTTTACTTTTACTTTCACTTTCAAATAGCGGCAATTCGGAGTAAAGCAATTGTTCGTTTTTAGTTTGTTTGAATTTTCTCTCTTTTCCTCGCATTCCTTCACTTTTAAATAGCTTAAAAGCGGCGTCCGCATTTTACTTTCACTTTTGAAGTAGCGGCAGTTCAGCGCCAATTGCGTCAAACTGATTTTAGCCTATATATAAAACATAGAACTTTTATTAACAAAACGAATAAAAATACTTGGGGAATTCAAATTTGTTCTTATATGGCACTAAGAGTGCATTGTTAATTTATCAACATTAAGAAACACATAGAAACGAATAACAGTTTTTGGGGAAATATGTCTTTTATCATTGCTAGTGTGATAGCTGCTGGAGGAAACATGAATTACGTTATTGATGAGTTACTTTACCATAAGGAAAATCTGAGTGTAAACGTCACTCCAGAAGAGGAGGGTTCAGAAGAACTACTGTATAAACATCAGCAGCAGTGACGGTGTGACAGACACACAGTCTTGCAAAACATTACCACTTTCAAAAATTAATTTCATGCTGAGAGACATGACACACTTCCATTTCCTCACAATGTTCTTAGTAGCTGGGTGGGAATATGATAAAGAATATACTTTGTTGAATTATAAGAACTATGCTATCCCTCAGAGAACATTTACTATAGTTTTCTCTGTTATGAATATGAGATTATCTAGAGAATCATTAAAACGCTCAACTGAAGGGTCAAAGATTACTGTGGTCAAAAAGTCTTCTCAAAAAAATAACAGTAATGAACTACATTTATGATATAGCTTGGGTCCATTAGTGTTTGTTTGTTTTTTCAGCTTTAGCAGATTAAAATTGTAAGCCTGATTGCCTATATAAGTAATAGCATACGTCTCCACCACAAAGACACATAATTTGATGTATCATTCCTGTCCATTAGACAAATGGAAGAATGTGTTTTCAACTACGCACAAAAGTAACAAAGATATGACTTTAAATTCCTTATGGAGGAAAGGCTATTCCACAATAACAAAGTAATACCACTCTATAACTCATCTCCATGATACTAAAAAGAGCAAAACTACCAGAGCATTTACCACCAACCCAGATGATTTTCCACAAAGGGCATTTTCAAACAAGTACTGTAGATATTTTCCAAAAACCCTCCTTTAACAAGGCCAAAAGCAGATGGATCTGTTACACTGGAATCTTGTTTTCTGCAGAAGTTGAGCTAATGTGAGTTGTTATAGTGTGTTTACACCAAATGTATCCCATCACACCTACATACTTATATTAATTAAGACAAATCCGGTATTAAAAAAACACTGCTTCAGATATAGTTCACTGACAGGCCTGCACAAATGGTCACCTCACTGTAAAGGGCAGTAGAGTGCATCTAAGCTGTTTGCACCAGACAGCTGCAGCATTTAGCTGCAGTTGGTTATTTTTCTGCTAATCAAATCTTTAATTCACTGGTATGCGGAGCGAAGTCTATTTCAGCAACATCCAAAGAAAAAACAAAAAGCCAAACAGGCTGGCCAAAGAGAACAGCGAACATTGGGAAAATACCTTAGGCTATATCACAAGCTCAATTTGGAGTTGTTTCATAAGCACGGAATTACAGGCTTGTGACCAGTAAGTCAATGTAGTTCCACCACAATCTACAGATTCTTGTATTGTCATTCATTAGCTGTTAAAGTATAATATTGCCACCACTTTGGATGGTCTTTTGTGGGACACGGTGAACTTTGTAGTAGGCTTCTGAGGCTGACTGTATGTGCAATGGCCCCAAAATTTGGACACGTCCCAGTTAAAGATGCTGCAACTGATTTAGTTGAATTTTACACAAAATGTCTCTGTAAACAGAAAAAAAAAAATAGAGAAATTGAGAGTTAGGGGAGCCACTCCCCTAACTCTCTCTTTCTCTATTTTTGTTTTTTTTGTATATAAATATACAAAAAAAAAAAAAAATACCTTTCTAGAATATCGGAAAACTAGTCATTCAGACTAGCCATTCTCTTCCTTTGAATAGTTTTGCATGTTCGGGTTGGCATGAATCAGATTAAATGTCACTTAGAGTGTTAAAACACATGAATGACAGAGCATTACACAAAATGTCAAAGCAAGTTGTATTTAACAAATAGGGAGCAGCAAAACTGACTAGTTGATGGGTTGCCTGAACGACTGGTTGACAAATCAAAGCATTAAAGGGACAGTCTACCCAAAAATTCGAATTTATCTGTGGAACACCAAAGAATATGTTTTGAAGAATGTTGGTAACCAAAGAGTTGCAGTTCCCACTGACTTTCATTATATTTATTTGACCATAAAATGGAAATCAATGGGAACCAAAACTATTTGCCTAACAACATTCTTCAAAATATCTTCTGTGTTCTATAGGAGAAAGAAAGTCATACAGGTTTGGAATAACATTAAGGTGAGAAAATGAGGTCCCCACATTCTTAAACCAATACACTTACACACAAACATACTCACTAGGGCTGTCAAAATGGCTGAAAAACTAAATTCGAATTTAAAATGCATAATTTCAGTTAGGGTAAAGAAAAGCTTTTGGCTTCTCTCCTGAGGCCACAAGAGGGTTAATACAAAGGACCGAAAGCCAATCACACAGATTACATTTTTAATTTAAAAACACGAGTTGCAGTGGGATGGGGGAGAAACCCCGCCATAAAGTCTCGAGATATGTTTTTTCAAAGTTAAAGTGCAATCTGTGTGAACGGCTTGGTTTCGGTTTTGATGTAAACAACATCTTCCCCGCATTGATTGTTCTCTTTTTCTGCAATATTTTGAATGAACAACGTAGCAGCGCCGCATCCAGTGGGTTCAACCGGATAGGCTAACAAAAACATTAAAATGCAACGACACTTACATCGTCATCGCATCTCGTGCGCCACTGGCTGCCTGACGCACACCTAAAATTCGAATGCAACATTTTTGCATTCGAATTAGGATTTTTATTTTAAATTCGACGAATATTCCAAATTATAATTTTTTTTTGAAAGCCCTACCGTCGTGTAGGACTTTTCGCCGCATTTTGCGACAGGATACACACACAGCAGTGGTCAACCGTTTGACGGCAAATAAAAGAGCTTCAACACCGCCATCGTCTGTATGCACGTAGAAATAATTAACTGCATTTGAAGCTTTCATAAAATTAAAAATGAAACACCCAAAACTGTACATGGCATTATCATTCACGATTATACGTGAAATTCCGGAGGGGACGTCGGATGGCATCACGTGGGGACGTAATGACGTGTGCCATTAATCGAACTATGAACTATAACATGTAAAACAGGAACATGAAAGGAATATTCTAAAAGCAACTCATGTAAACACCAAATCATAATATTGGCTTATTTAGAATAAGGTAAATAATTAGATTACTGATGTCCATGTAAACGTAGTCATTGTGTATTACGAATATATCCTCTTTTGTAGGTTGCTTTGAATAAAAGCAATTGCTAAATGTATAAATGTAAATAAATTACCATTTTTATTTTTGTGTGTGCTATCCTTTAAGAATGCCTGAAGACAACCAAAACTAGTTGACCATCATCAAACAATAGTTAATCTGTTTAAAATGAAGACACAAAGTAATTGGATGCTTTCTGGTTCTTAAATGTTAGTGGAAAATGTTTATAGATAATGTGATACACCTGCTAGGACCTAGGAAGGGAACTGACTTC